GGGGACAACCGTAGTTCATCCCAATATATCTTTACAAGAGTGGTTTGACTATTTCTGTAATATGTACATGAACGCTGCTGGGTCGATAGATGGTAATGCAACTTACAATAGCGAATATCAGCACACGGATATTAATGTTACAACAATTCTGGACTCGCCCATTACAGTAGAGGAGGTTACCAAAGCAATAAATACCCTCAAGTACTCTAAATCTGCGGGCGATGATAAGTTAATTGCTGAATTTTTCAAGTTTTCTTCTGATATTCTTGTTCCGTATTAAACAGTTCTATTCAACATGATCTTTGATAATGGTGTGTTTCCTGCTCAGTGGTCGGTTGGTCTTATTGTTCCTATTCATAAAAAGGGAGATCGAGATTCAGTTTCAAATTATAGAGGAATTACTATTCTCATTGTATTTAGCAAAGTTTATATTGCAGTGATTAACGACAGACGAAAAATTTTGGAGTGAAGCTTATGCTAAAATATCCGAGGCACAGGCAGGGTTTAGAACAGGATACTCAACCGTCGACAACATCTTTATTCTTCATTCTATTACACAGAGAATTCTATCAAAAAAAGGGTAAGTTGTATGCTTTCTTCATCGACTTTTCGAAAGCATTTGATTTGGTAAATAGATCGAAATTATCGTTAGTTTTGCAACAGAAAGGATTAACACCCAAGATGTTAACTTGCATCAATCCATCTATAGTTGTGTTAAATCTTGCCTTAAAGTCAATAATTCTTTTTCACAGTTGTTCGACTGTAATATTGGAGTTCGTCAAAGATGTGTCTTGAGTCCCTTCTTGTTCTCCTTTTTTATAAACGATTTAGCTGATCGTATTGAATCGTTGTGTTATCCGGGCATACAGTTACATCCAGAATTAACTCAGTTGTTTCTCCTTCTATTTGCTGATGATGTCACTCTATTCTCTGACGCCATCTATGGGCTACAAAAAACGTATTATGTCCTTGAACAGCATTGCAAGGAATACAAGCTATATGTCAACTTAGATAAATCTAAAATTGTTGTGTTTAGAAATGGTAGCATCCTTACTAAGCACGAAAAATGGTATCTAGGAGGTAAATTAATTGAGTGCGTTTCTTCATATAGATATTTGGGAATAGTATTTTCACAAACATTGTCATGGCATAAACATTTTGAGATATTCTCAATTTAAATATATTTTTGGTGTTGAGCCATATCTCCATTGCATAACTATCAAGAAATTTCGTATTGCCTTAGCGAGGTTCAGGTGTAGTTCACACCAACTGAATATAGGAACTGGTAGATATATAAAGAAACCAAAAAACTCAAGATTGTGTGAAATGTGTTCCTGTAATTTTGTAGAAAATGAGTACCACTTTTTACTGATTTGTACTGTCTATGATGATCTACGTAAACGTTTTATCCCTGTCGATGTTTTCACCCATCCAACCTTGTGTAAATTTAATCGACTGATGAGTAATGCTACTCCTCTTGTTTTAAGAAATCTTGCCATGTTTATCTTTTATGCTAACAATCGTCGTCGCTACAGCTTGAAGGCTGCCAATGTATAACGTTGTACCATGGGCCGATGGCCTACATTTACACGAATAAAGAATTGAAGTAAGCTAGTTTGAAATGGGTGGATAAGATCTCAGTACGAATCACGTACACTGGGTAATGTGAGGGAAAAGACGGAAAATCCCTTTAACATTATATTGGAATTCAATTCCAATCCAATTCCAATCACGGTTAAAAAAGATTTAATCGGAAACTCTTGCCATGCAAGGCAGTAATGAGATCTTTATTGCCTGTGGAATATGTTGGAAGTGCTCCAAAGTTGATGTATGGTTCGGAAGTATGGCGTATGAAATATCAACATGAAATTAGGTACGAGCATGCAATTTGAAACATGTTCTTAGTTTGAATTCTGGACGTCAGCGTATAGATACTCAAATAAGGGTAATTAGGTACTGAACTAAATGTTTGCGAAAGCAATGAATCAGTGAAGCCGATATCATTCCCAGGGTCATGTTATCCTTAAAGTGTTAGGTGAAAATGGTAAAGATAATTAATTGATCGTCTGTGCGAGACACATGCTACTTAATGCTGGTGTTGTGTAAGTGTGATAATACCGAGAGCCTGGTGATAAGAACATGTTTTGTCGGCTTTTAGAAGACATAATTTTAAGATATATATACTGAACCACTAACGAAACGTCGCCTTTCAAAACGAGTTCTTACAAAATGGTGATTATATTTATGACTGTATCGTTTTGTTGACATGTTTTTCATTCCAAATTGACAGTTATTACCAACATCAGCGTGTTTGTTGATAAACAAACATATCGACCGAACGCACCTAAAAGGCAGACGTGGTTAAAGTTTCCCTATGACATTCGTGAAAATGAAAATGTACGTGCATATCGTGACAACGAACCCTTCCAATGAAAGCGAGTCCCAAACTCGCCTGAAATCATTCTTGTTTTGACAAAATCGCCATGGCACGACTTAAGAGAGATCAGCGGAACCAAGTCTTGGGAGGACTGCAAGTTGGCCAGACTGCATCGAGGGTAGCCAATGATTTTAATGTTCATGTTAGGACAATCTACCGACTGCAGGAGTGGTATCAGGTGACTAACAGCATCCAAAACCGTCGAAGCAGTGGGCGACCTTCAGTAACATCAGTAACAAGAACGACAGATTGTGCGTCACCCTCTGCAGGATCGCTTCCCTAGAGCGAGGTACACAGCACGCCAGACAATTGGGGCTCACAACAGACCCATCAGTGCCGATACAGTGTGTAGACGTTTGCACGGAGGAAACTGCTGTTGTCACAGATCATATCGTAGTCGTGTCCTCACCGCTCACACCGGCAAAACCGACTTCAATGGTCAACTCAGCATCGAAATTGGCATTATCGACAATGGAGAACTGTGCTTTTCTCTCATGAAAGCCGGTATTGTGTTTCGACTGTCGATGACGGAGTGAGAGTATGTTGGAGGCGTAGGGAACTGTTTTCCAATGAGTGTATTGTTGAAATAGACTCGTGGTGTGGTCCAAGCATCATAGTGTGGGGTGCAGTCGGTCTGAACCAGATAACTGGCACCGAGTTGTTCCTGAATCTCGGTCCAGGATGAGGAAGTGACGTGACAGCTGCTCGCTATGCTGAACAAGTCATAAGACCCCACGTTGTACCACATTTTGGACGTTCCAGCAAGACAACGCTCGTGCCCACACTGCCAGAGTAACATTGGACTTCCCAAGACAACATGGCATCCAAACCCTACAATAGCCTGCACTAAGTCCGGATTTGAGCCCAGTAGAACACTATTGGGACGAGAATCAAAGAAGACTGAATGACCTCCACCCAAGGCCGACAACTGCTGCGGGACTCGAGCAGGCATTTCACAGAGTATGGACCCAAGTGCCTATGGCTTTCATCAATCAGCTAATTCACTACCCTTTCATCGTTGCCCATACCAGCCACACATAATACTGACTTTGGGGTATCTTAATGGTACCATTTTTGGTGATTTTGTTTGTGTGAACTCTAAATGTGATTCCCGAAAGTGTGTTAACCCGTAATTTGTCACATTTGAACTCAATCCTCCGTTTTGATTGTCAATTAGACTGAATTAAAGTGTGCTTTAAGGAACCGCCATCGGTGCGACATTTCTTTTGTGGTTCAGTATATTTCCCAAAGTGTTGCCACTGTTTGGAGTTGTCTGCATTTTAGTGCATTATTTTGACATAACATGTGTCGTCTGCAGCCCGAATTATGTACTCATGGACAAGCAGTTAGTTAGAGCAACCTATGAATTCAGAATGGAATACCATATGGAATACCAGATTGTTTTTGTATATAAGAAAGATATTCAAAATAGTTTTCTTACCTTATTATAGAAACATTATTGGTAGAGTTAGCAAATGTATTTATCTCCTGTGATATTAATGTACTGCGCTTGATAGCTTTATATCTCTGTACATTATTTAGAATGAGATTGACAAATATGTAACACTCTGACACGTGACCCATATGTTATATCTTACAACTGTACCATGGGCCATGTGGCCTGAATTACAAAGTAAACTTGTAAAGTAAAGTGAAGAGTTAAAGTAAAGTTGTTACATGTTATTCTTCATTTATGACGTCTAGATGTACGCCATTTAGACAAAAAGCCACTCCATTTGGCACCAGTTGAACTCCTGTTTTTGCGAAACTGTTCCTTTATTCACAAGGAAGAGGTTACTTGTGGAGGCGGAAAACACTTCCAAGGGAACAAAATAAAATCAACGTCGATTACCCACGCGCATCATGAGCATGTGTTTATGAATCATTGCAGAAATTACGATGATACCGAGTGCTTGCGGAGAGTTGTCCGTCTCTTGCTTTATCGGTTTGTCAGTTTGTCAAAACCATAAAGAACTGCTACTCTTCAGTTGAGTCAAACAGGATATTTGGTTCCTACGTTTCCCTGGACCCACGACTCCCCATTAGAAAAAAGACAAATTTTTGTATAACACGTATACCTCAAGCCTCGGAACTTCGTTTCCTAAGCGGACCGTGTCCCTGGTGTAGTGGTTAGAGCGTCCGCCCGGAAAGCGGAAGGTCGCGGGTTCGATCCCCGACCGCGTCATACCAAAAGACATTAAAATATGGTACTTGTTGGTCCCTGCCTGGCGCTCGGCATTAATGGGTAGAACAAGGACTGGTCGGCTCGGAGTCAATATAATGTGTCTGAGTGGGGTATTCATGCTTCTCTGCGGCATGGTATCTCAGTGGGCTAGTACTATAAAACCACCTTTGAGTGGGGTATTCATGCTTCACTGCGGCATGGTATCTCAGTGGGCTAGCACTATAAAACCAGCTTAAGTCTGGGCTAGTATAAGCAGCCGCACATACACATACACACGCATGCACGTCGTCATATGAGCCATATATTCTCAAGTACGACGTTAAACCCAATTTCACCTCACCTCACCTCGTTTCCTAAGCATGTTCATGTCAATTTCAGGGTCAGATACAGACAGAGAAAAACGCCAGCTGACATTACCATGCAGTGATCCATTTCCGCCAACTACCTACTACTATGGTGACAGCTTCGATGCTGCTCATGCATATTTTTCACAAGGTATAGAATAACCGACTCCTTACGCATATTCACCGACGCTCTATATCTAATGAAAAAATAATACACTTAAATGATTCATGCATGCATAATCAGTAATTCCAAGATTTAGAAGGGACAGTTAGGTTTAACCAGTTGAAAGTCCCAGAGAAACTGACACATGACAATTCAGGCTAACAAAGGGACCCCTGATGACAAAGGCTATCGCTTTGGATGACGTAATGTTGTACATATCTACATAATGTACCGAAATTGTCACAGTACAAAAGTCTAAGAGTTCAACAACCGCACCCTTGTTTATGATGATTGTAAGGGGAGGTCACCCATTTTGTTCTAGGGAGTGAGTGAGTGAGTGAGTTTAGTTTTACGCCGCACTCAGCAATATTCCAGCTATATGGCGGCGGTCTATATATACTCGAGTCTGGACCAGACAATCCAGTGATCAATAGCATGAGCATCTCACTGCGCAAATGGGACCGATTTCACGTGTCAACCAAGCCAGTGAGCCTGACCACCCGATCCCGTTAGTCGCCTCTTACGACAAGCATGGGTTACTGAAGGTTCATTTTAACCCGGACCTTCACGGGTACTGTTCTAGGGAGGGGTGTGTGGTGGGGTGTCATCAATTTTGTACATGGCATGCAGGGGTCTCTTTTTTCATAAATTTTAGGGTGGTGGGAGTGGTGAGGTCACTCACATTGTACATGCCTCTCCATAATAATCATCATCATCAACACCCCCACACTCCACACCTAAACCATAAGTTATGAACGACCCCTAATGCCACCTTCAGTTCGCGTTATAATTGTTGTCATGCTCTATAACCTCAGGGCCAATGTGTTGAAATACCTACACTAGGGTAGTTTGCAAAATGGTCGTGCTGGAGTTATAGATGATGGAGTGTTGATAGTCTAATCCATATCGACAAATTTAAAGACTGTATGGAAACTGTCAAGGCAGTATAGCACCTGATAATACTTGACTGACATGTATGTGTCTAATACTCTTAACTGCATACTTCTTTACTAACGCAGATCAGGCAATGTTACCACTGAACTTTGTTGGGACTCTCAAGAAGGAACATCCGCATGTGGTGAAACGAGTTGCTGAACTGTTAGCACACAATGGAGGGGGATTTGCTGTATTTGGTCGGTCGCTTGCAACAACCTTAAATTTGCCAAGTAGCAAACCTCCTGATATGTTGCAATGTGACGTAATAATCATTACACGAAAGTGCCTTCCTATTTTTATATCTTTCGCATCTGAGGCATTTGGTTGCATTGAACAGTATAATGCTGAATTGGCTCGCCGCATGAGGGTAATTCTTGGAAAATACCCAGCAGAAAAGTTCAATCTTATCTTTTTGGCCACCGAGGAAAAACTATATCTCAAAAAGAAAAACTTTCACAATACCGTTCATAAGAGAAAGTCTATGGTAATTGAATCGTGCTTTCCTAATCAAAAGTACATGAACGATTCGAAATTTGAAAGACTGAAGACTGCTTTAACAGCCACAGTTGCAAGAACAAGGATCCCAATGCCACCTAAAGGAAAGGAAGTCGGAGCGTTCTGGGTTTTGAAGAAAGAACAGTTGTCAATGTTACTTGACAATATTGATCTGCACCAACCATTAGACGTGCCTGATTCACAACCTGGGAAAGCTGTGTTCATGTTCGAAGCTGCCCAACGACTGGAACGCAGGGGGAAAACACTACTCATCTGTGACAGCATGGAGGAAAAGACCAAACGAAAGTAGGTTTGTATACTAGAGGTAATTTGGTCCATCAGAGCAAATGAATTATTGTAAAGGGCATGAAATATTGAGCTGGTTGTTTTATATATTCTTCAAGAATGGGTTGACTGGGGCTAAGTGATCATACATGATAGGTACTTTGTATATTCAGCAGGTTTAGTGGCTTAGCCTAGTGTTGGGTCTTATGGCTAACGAACATTCTAACACGCAATCTCTGTGTGATGGCATGGTCAGAGATAAGGAGTGTGAATATGCCTACTTTCAGCCATGCCCCAGATGAAGTGACAATCGAGACTATAGAATCTTTCCGCCAGTCTCGTCAGGACTTGACACAGTTTAAACACATCATGGTATCCGCAACACCTCACAAACTGGAGGCAATTCAGGACAAGCTGAAGGCAATTCCTACTCCGATTTGGAGGATCTACGAACGCGATGAAGGTTAGTATCACTGATTATGTCATAACGCGTATTGTAAATTATCGGCTTATGCCTTTTTCATTTCAGTGTTGTGAGTTTATAGCTAAAATATGATCAATTGCATGTTGCCTTCTTCAAAGACAAAATGCAGCTCGCTGATGACTACTCACTGAAATAAATGTTCGCATTTGTGTTTCAGTTCCCACAGAAACCGTGCGTGTTGTGCTCCTGGGCTACGCTAAGACAGGGAAAAGTCTCCTTGCCAATACAATTGCAGGCGAGAAACTGTTCGAAGCTGGATTACTCAAACCTACAACAGTATGTCAAGAGAGACGGGCAAGCGTGGATAACAGGACATTTCAGATAATGGACACACCAGGTTTCTCCTTGCACAACAGACAGAATATTCAGACTACTGTTGAGGAGTTGGTGAGCAGGGCAAGTTCCACTGATGCTGTCTTGCTTGTTGTAAAGGCATCGCCAATGACATATGAAGAGGAACTGCTCTTCAAACATGCCAGCGCAATTGCTAGGAAGCCAATATCACACAAAATAGTGCTTGTGTTCACAACACTAGATGACGATATCACTTTGAAGGGATATCTCAAGAACATTCCCAGTTTCCTGAAAGAATTTCTCCAGTTCTGCTACAACCCTCCCGTGCTTGTCAACATTGGGACACAATCAAAGATGGCGAATGATCAAATACATGACATGCTCAGGGCAATAGGCAAAATACAAAGTACGCATGTGCAAGAGCAACAGATGAGAAGAATACCTCACAAACTGACTGCAGCCATCCGTGAACTAGAGAAACGTTACAGGGACAACTTGACACGGCAAATTCAACAGATGCAAATAATCCTCTGATCGCGTTGTGGGCGTGAATATACAGTCGTTAGACACCAAGTTCCGGGAAATGAAACTTTACACACATTTAGGGGACGCACACTTTTCCGGACCCAGGATATCCGGAAACCTCCCGATCCGACGATTTCTACTTGAAGTGTCGTAGTTTTTTTCCGTAGTTTTTATTTCCATAATGCATGTGTGGCCATAGGCCCAAATACATAATACAATAATAATAATAATATGGGTGATATTATAAACAATCATTTTCGCTTCTTAAAAGCAACATGAATGAATGCCATTAATTTTCTAAGCACAGAGTGTGAAGTTGTTGACATAAGTTTTGAGAACATGTGTACTGATGGGTTCCTGATCACATAACTTGGTAGAATAGCTTTTCTGATGGTGTCAAGGGAAGGGCATATCAAAGTAAAATGATAAAGATCTTCGATTTCATATCGATCACAGTGTGGGCAGATACGTTGCTCACGGGGAATATTTGATATCCGGCCTCTGTCAATCTGTAGACTTGTATGTCCAACTCTTGCAAGAGCAAACTGGCGCGCAAAAGTTCGTAGTGAAGAGTCTAATAAATATTCTTCAGCATCAAGAGTTGTTTTGTATGTTGAGAATGTGTCATATCTTGAGCTGCTGGTTAAAACGTCATGCCACTGTTGAGAACTGATATCTTTTAAACGCTGTTTAAAGTCCTTAACAAAATATTCCGTAACACCAACATCTTGTGAAGCCCAAGCATATCACATTCCAACATTTTGTAGTAGGGTTCTAACGTCGGAACACCATGTATGTCGACCTACATTGTCCAGATTATACAACATGTCATATGCCTTACGTGGTAGTCGATGGGACGGGAGATGAAGGAGTCTGATCCAGTACTTGATGCATTTGACGGCACTATCCACATACAGAGGATGACGTCCACACTCTCCAAGGGCCATAGCATTTGGTGTGTTTGTACCGGTTCCAATGTAGCGTTTACAAGCAAGATATTGAACTCTCTCAATTGCCTCTACTCGTGTGTGTCCCCATATTTCACTTCCGTATAACAGGATGGGCTTTATTTTGGTGTCGAATATTTTGAAATAGGTCTTGAATGGTAACTTTCCATATGCCCACATTATACGTAAGATGTTCACTAAGGAACGTTTGCCGTTAGTTGCAAGGTGAAGGGCGGATTGGCGCAGAGACAAGGATGGTGTTAGCATGATCCCTAGATATTTGTAGCTTGTCACAGGCTCGATCTCTTTGCCGTTGTAAAACCATTTTTCACAACGTCTAAGGATTCCCCCTCTTCTAAAGACGACAACCTTTGTCTTCTGTAGGTTAACTGACAGGCCCCATGTGTCACAGAATGTAGACAGGATGTTGAGCTGTTGCTGGAGACCGTTGACCTTGCCAGACATTAGGATTACGTCGTCAGCAAACAGCAGTAGAAATAGTTCGTATAGATCTGGGTATAGCTGTACTCCGCCTTTGCACTCCTGTAATATCATATCAGCGAGTCCATTTATGAACAGAGAGAAAAGGACCGGACTAAGAACACATCCTTGTTTGAGACCAACTGGACAATCAAAGACTTGCGTGTACGATCCTCCACTACATCTAACAGAAGCTGACACTCGTGAATACATAGATTAAATAATGCGCAGCAATTTCCCACTCAGGTTGATGTTTCGAAGTACGCCCATCAGTTTTGTTCTATTGATAGAATCAAATGCTTTCCTAAAGTCAATTAGAGCAACATATAAGCGACCTTTTCTTTTACTGAGATATTTCTGTACACAGGCAGTTAGTGTGAAGATGTTGTCCGTCGTAGAGTAGCCCTGACGAAATCCTGCTTGTTCTTCACACATCTTGTGATTAATTTCAGTCCACGTCGATAGGCGCTTGTTAAGGATAGATATGAAAACCCTTCCAATTACACTGTTTAAGGTAATTCCCCGGTAGTTATTCGGGTCTTTGAGACAGACGCTTTTATGTATAGGAACAATAATGCCACTTCCCCAGCCGTTGGGGAAAACACCTATATCAAGGATTTTGTTGAAGAGTTTTACTAAGTAAGGCAATATATACTTGAGTGATGATTTTAGTAATTCTGGTATTATATAATCTGGACCAGATGACTTTCCACTCTTTTATTTATTCACAGATTCCATGATTTCTTTAGCTGTAATGGGGACATCAGCAGTATCAACATGGTTACTGTCTATATCACGAATCCCTGCAGTAGTCCTTTCCTGGGTATCACCTGCTGAGAAAAGTTCTTTGAAATGGTCAAACCATTCCTGAGGTGGAATGGGATAATCTGGTCTCACAGTACCATTCATTTTCTTGACCTGCTTCCAAAACGCTTTGCTATCGCATAGAGTTTCTTCCAATAATGATGTCTGTTGAAGTTGGAAAGTTCTGTGCTTGGTTCTGACAGTGGTCTTATATCTGTTACGCAAAACTCTGTATGTATCGAAATGAGACTGGATCTTCGTAGTCCTGTATTTTCGCAATGCTTTTCTGGCCTCAACTTTGTTACGGTGACATTCTCTATCATACCAAGTGTTCTTAAGCCTCTTACAGAAAGGTTTGACTTTCTTCTTAAACATTGATGCATGTTCAAGTATATTTTCTGTGAATAAACCAACAGATTGGTTAATGTTCTTGTCAATTAGATCTGTAGCTTTATCTAGAGCAAATAGAAAATCTTGAGACATAAGGGCTACTTCAAATTGCTCACGTAAGCATTCCTTCCACACATATCTGTAACTGGGTGTATCCTCTGCGCTGGCTGTGTTAGTGTTCGTTGGCAAACCAGACGGTAATGTCACTTTAATTGCTTGGTGTTGCGACTCGACTCTTGACACAACTTCGAAGGACTTGTATATCGAGAACAGGTATGTAGATATCAGACATATCAGACTAGATCCATTGTGGCACAGGTATGTACACACACCGGTACTGGAGTCACTGCCACACCTGCCGTTCATCATGTGGATGTCCAGCGATATACATAAGTTAATCAAACTTCTTCCAAATGGATTAACTGTATGGTCTTCTGACACACGTGGTATATCAAACGGATCTTCATTCTCTCCTGTCATATCATCATCAGTAAAATCGTGCAGATTTCCGGTCCGAGCATTGAGATCGCCACCAAGTATGACCACTGGCTGGGAGGTGCAGTCCTGTAGGACGTCCAGAATATCACTTTCTAATATGGTTATTCCGTTTTTGTCATCACATTTTGCGTAGAAAGTAGAACCTGCTGGGGGTACATAAACACAGCAATATAAAACATCTCTATCAAATGCAAAAAGATCACTTTTAAACAAAATGTGTATACCCAGTTGCGTGTAAAATACACTGGTAATATAAGTACTAAGGCATTTTCGTATCAATAAAAGGATGCCACCGGAGTTACGACCAACACTTGCTGATCGTTTGGCTTTCAAAACCATAGCATCAAAATCTGGAAAATACTGATGGAAATCAGCAGTGTTCATAGTTGACCATGTTTCTATCATACCAAAAATGTCCTGGCTTTTCACAAAGTTAATAAAGTCCTCATCATGAAGTTTATTTTGAATACCGTCTATATTCCAGAACACAAAAGATAGGCATTCTGATTGGGCCTGGCTTGTTTGCTATAAGACAGGCGACTCTCCGTTGCCTGCCTCGCTCGGTATGTAACTGGTCTGTTCTTGACTGACAATCGGGCGTACGTCGCTTCCCTGTTGTACGTGCGGTCTACCGTTACACGTAACGGGAGCAGCACGTGATCGAGTGCGCCGGGCTGGCGGCACGCTGGACACATACAGTTTACCGTTCTTGAAGTAACCTCTCTTGTTTTCGGCCTTCAGCTCCTGCAGCGCACTTCTCTGGTTCACTGTCAGGTCGTTGGACACGCCGATGCCTACACTTTTAAACTGACTTCTGTTTTTGATGATAGCTAGTTTGTCAACCTCATGTAGAAAACGTAAGAGCAGCGGCCTACAACGTCCACTGGATTTTCGTCCAAGTCTGTATGACTTATCTATATCACGAACGTTCCATTCCCTGTCGGGTACAGTATTGCGTAATGTGTCGACAATAAGACTTTTTCTATCACTGTATGATTCATTTTCATTTTCTGCTATGTCGTAGAAAATAACGTTATTTTTTCTTGTATATATATCCATCTTGTCGAGTTCATTTTTAACAGTGCCATTGTTTTTGTTTATTCTGGCTTCAAGATTTGCTTCGATGTCATTAATATGGGTGTCTAGAGCAGTAACGTCCAGTCGTAGCACCTCCTGGTTGCATTTCAGATCTTCGACGTCATTTCCAATATTATTTACAGTTTTGCTTAAAGATTGACATTCACTGCGGATACTTACAACTTCATCTTTTACTTCCTGAATGTCTTTCTTAAATTCACATTTCATATCCTTCATCTCTTGAATCAAACGTGTAATGTCATTACCAATGCTGTCTAAGGTTGCTCGTGGGCCTGGGTTCACTTCCACGTCCCCTGAGAGAAGCAAGAGAGCGTTGATGTTGACGTTTGGAAAGTAGGTCACTGGGTCTGACATGGCTAGTCCGTGTCGGGTGCATGGGCTTGTGGTGAAGGGCCAGGGGTTAAATGCGATGCGGTGTGTAATTTGCACATTTCTGGTGTATGCATATCTCACCTTTACCACACTGTCTGTATGAAGAATGAAGTTTATTGACCACATTACCGTCAGTGTACCGAGGATGCACCGAGGAAGTGAAATACATACTACATAGAATGCTTCATTTATCAGAAAATTTAGTGAATTGTAATTGCCACAACAGTGTAGTTTCTCAGGAACTACAAGTTCCTGTACAGAGTTGTTGCCCTTAGGTTTGTATGTATGATGTTTGGTATTCAAACTATGTGGCTCTAGTCTGTAAACAGGCATTCCAGTGATCGACACCCGTGAAGGTCCGGGTTAGAATGAACCTTCAGCTGGTCGTAAGAGGCGACTAACGGGATCGGGTGGTCAGACTCGCTGGCTTGGTTAACACATGTCATCGGTTCCCAATTGCGCAGATCGGTGCTCATGCTGTTGATCACCGGATTGTCTCGTCCAGAC